AAAAAAAAAATATTTGTTGTGTTTGACACATTTGAACATTAATTTGACTTTGGTAAGGAAGTTTGAAGTTTTGTGACTAAAAACTTGAATGTCACTTGAAAATACTATTCAAAATTAGTTTGTCGATTTCAAATTTTCTATTTTGCGTTGGAATTGAAATAATAAAATAAATTTCATAACAAACATTGTTTTATATTTCAAGTTTAACTTAAAGTAATGAAATAATTTTGGTCCATATTGGTCATACATAAACAATGGCGTGTTGTCGATGTACATGTCAAGTCGCAGACTCAAAAAATATATGTATACCACAAAAGTAAACAGATCATTAATACAACATACTGATAATCAATATTTAATCCGATCCACTTTAATTAATTTTTTGATCTTTTTTGTGTTCAGTAATATTTGATTTTTTCAAATATCAAAAAAGAATTAACTTTTTTTTCCAAAGTTACTTGGAGTAAAGAGCCTAAGAGTATTTGTCATATTTTCAATGACAAATTAAGGTTAATATGATCATTTTTATTATTAGTTAATGTCAAAAGGTAAATTCATGTGAAAACAATTAAAAAATCAATAAAAGTATACTGGATGGTGTAATAATTAATTAATAAAAAAACAGCTTGATATGATATTACTCCTATTAACGTAATAGCTCATTGGATTCTTCTTCTCGGATTTGATGTAGACTAACTAATTTTGTCTTGTACTCATGAACTATCCTTGTCAAACGTTATTAGAGATAGAGCTGGACCTCTATGAATTTAAAATAGTACAAATTTCATTTATTTCACCTTTCCTTAATTGCATCAAGAGTACAAGAAAATTAAATTAAATATTCGGCGCCTAAAAAGTTGTCTAACTTTTACAAGTTTGTTAATGCTTGTATTAGGGCAGACTATCTAAATCAAATCTCTTGGGGTACGGTTTTTCTCCGGACCAGGGGCGGATACACCTTGCGGCAAGCGATGTCACGTGACACCGCTTCGTTGAAATTTTTATTAAATATGTATATATGGATAGTATACAAAATAAAAATATTGTATATAAATATAAAAAATGACACCGCTTGTTATTATAGTGATTTATTCATTCGTTCATTTTTTCAAATGTTGACACTGCTTACCTAAAATCCTGCATACGCCACTGCCCGGACCCTATATGAACGCATGAAATCTTGTGTATCGAGCTGCCCTTTTATATATTGCCTAACACTCTCATTTTCTTCAACAGAAATTGTATCCTTATTTCATATCATATGGAGAATAAGAGAGTAGCTATTATTGGAGCTGGAATCAGTGGACTTCTTGCATGCAAATACACACTAGAAAAAGGCTTTATTCCTGTAGTTTTTGAAGCTACAAAAGAAATTGGAGGAGTTTGGACTCAAACTATTGAATCAACTAGACTTCAAAGTCCAAAGAGAACATTTGAATTCACTGATTTTCCTTGGCCTTCTTCAGTTAGAGGGAGATATCCTCATAACACTGATGTTTTGAAGTATATTGAGGCTTATGCTCAACATTTTGAGTTGCTTCCTTATATTCAGTTGAATACAAAAGTTATTGGAATAGATTATGTTGGAGTTTCTGATGAAGAAATGGATTCTTGGGATTTTTGGAGTGGAAATGGGAAACCCTTTGGCTCTAAGGGGAAATGGCACATATTGGTGCAACATGCTGAGGACTTCACCACTCAGGTATGTATATTTAAATTGAAAGATAAAAGCAAAAATACTTTTCTTCTTTCTTAATTTCTTTCATTTATGTTAAGTTGTTTAGGATTGATTAATTTGTTGCTGTATAATCACATCTACTGCATTACCACCAAAGTTTGTGGTAGGGATGTATATGATCTTTGCATATTTTAAATTAAAAGTCTCGGGTTCGAACCCTGAGAATGAAGAAAATTCTAATGCAGAACGAATTTGGATTAGTCGGGATCCAATTCGGATACTGAATACGGAATAACCAAAAAAAATATTGGCTACACTCGGTTCATATTAATGAAATCCGCTAATTACCAACAAGGGTTATGGCGGAGTGGTAAGTACTCCTTTATCCTTAACTAGAGGTCTCGGGTTCGAACCCTAGGGATGGAGTCGCCTTTACTAGGGAGTGTTTTACCCTCCCCTAATGTGGGACTTTAATCGGGCCCCAATGCAGATACCGGACACTGGGTAAAAAGCCAAATAAAAGAAAAAGAAAAAAATAAACTCTGCTAATTGGGATAGTAAAGATAGATTTGGGACCAGAACAAAAAAGATAGATTTAGGAGATATATTAATAAATGAGTTCTTGATTTTTATTTAAAGGTCAATATTTTGAAATAAATTTAGTTTATTAAAACAATTGATATTTGAAACTGAATGGAATATTTGTAAATTAGAGTTTAAAAAAATACTTAAGAGATGTCGCATGTGCCATAAATATAACTTGATTCATACGTACCCTGTAACTCCGTTTGACTTAAGTTGCTCCTATTCATATTCATTTTTTAGAGATCCAAAGAGATCTATATTCGCCAAGATTAGTTAATTACTCGTTTATGTGTTCTGAAATTTAAAATTTATAGATAACGTATTTCTGATTTAGTTACTAAGTCTGTAAAAATAATTCTTTTAAAAATTATTCGTTCAACCTTCTTCCACCGGTAGTCAGTACTTCCTTTGTTTCAGTTTATGTAAATATTTTTGCTTTTTGACAAGAATTGCAACTTATATACTATTTTCGTATAGTTTTTTAAATATTTAAATTTTAATTTCAAATATTGAGTCAATTTAATCTAATTTAGCTTCAAAGATAAGTCAAATTAACTCTTAAAAAGCGAAAAGGTTCACATAAACTAAAACGGATGATGTAGTAATCTATGGAATTAATTAATTACCTTATATATATCCTACCATTGTATAGATCTTTACACTTTTACTCACTCTTTTTCATTTTTTATAAGGATGTCTTTATGAGCATGTAGCTTAAACTGTTAATTTGACTTTATACATTATATTTGTGACGATGGAAGAGAATTAAGTTATTGGATTCGTTTGGTTGGAAACAAGTTATCCAACATTAATTATTCAGGGATTGTTATCCCATCTTGCTATTGAGAAAAATAACATTATAATTTCAGGATAACTAAACTCCGAGATTAGTTATACAACGATTTTATTCCAACCAAACATGAGATAACTTAATCTCAAATTTAATCTCAAGATTAATTATCCTTTATCCCTCGTTCCAAATAAACTGATTTTAGGGAAAGCAAATATCAGATCAAAGTTAAAATGTGAATAGTTTAAGGCATTGTACAAAGAATATAATGGTTTTCGAAGGTACCAACATAGAAAGAGCATCATAACATTGGAACAGATTGACTAGTGTACTTTAACCGGTAATATCATATTATTAATTTATTACTTTGTTTTTAAGTTACCAAATTAGGTTTCCTATAGATCATTCTGCATGTCATCTTAACTTGACATTGTAAAAAATCTTTATATTATTATCGTATGAAAATTCAACTCATAATTTATTATATTCTTAATTCCAGGACTATGAAGTTGAATTTTTAATTCTATGCGTTGGGAGGTATAGTGGTCTACCAAATATCCCAGAGTTCCCTTTAGGTGAAGGGCCTGATGTTTTTTCTGGGACAGTAATACATTCTATGGAATACTCAGCTATGGACAATGAAAGTGCTAGAGAGTTGATTAAAGGGAAGAAAATTGCAGTTATTGGCTCTCAAAAATCAGCTATAGATATTGCTGCTGAATGTGCAGCTGCTAATGGTAAGAAACTGCTTTTGATCAAATCCTTTATTTTCCGTTCGGTGTCTGATACCTGAATTAGAGTCGCGATAATCTGGATTTGCATCTATCAAGATTTTTTTTTTATTTCCAAGGCTCTCGAAACCAAGACTTTTGATTAAGGACGAGGGGATCTTGTTTATCCTGTCACAACCCTTGATAAGGGTCAAAAATACCCCTAACGTATTGAAAATGGCTCAAAAATATCATCCGTTAACCTTTTGGTCTAAAAATACCCTTAACGTTTAATTTTTGGCTCACATATACCCTTAA